AATGGTTCTTACGGCGAGAAAACATGGAAAAATTGCCGGGAAAACCCTAAAAACAGCCGGGGAAAACACAAAATAAAATAAAATAATATAAAATAAAATAAAATAAAATAAAATAAAATAAAATAAAATAATATAAAATAAAATAAAATAAAATAAAATAAAATAAAATAAAATAAAATAAAATAAAATAAAATAAAATAAAATAAAATGAAATGAAAAAAAAAATAAAATGAAATAAAATAAAACAAAATAAAATAAAATGAAATGAAAAAAAAATAAAATGAAAAAAAATAAAATAATAATTTAACTTAATTTTTTTCTCCAGCTTCTGATTGAATTCACGTTGAAAGCATTTTGTTTGTTTAGGCTTCATATTCCTTCAAAGCGTAAGTATTTAGCTGTGCTAACCTCATTGTAAATATATTAGTTACATAAAATATGAATGTAGCCACATAATAAAATGGGTTTGCAACTTAACATAAATCAAATAGTTTGCCGGCAATTTCCAACAAATAAATAAACAAACAAGCAGCAACTTACGGTAATAACTTTTACTTTATGCACACATACCCACATGCACATATTAAAACCACAATGGACATGTATACGGAATTGTAGGTGCAAATGGTTTTGCTTGCCGTCATTGCTCTTGGTGGTGGTAATACTCGTTACAATGTAGGCAAGGCTCTACATATTATCCATGCATGAATATATACATACATACATTTTGCATATGTGCTATGTGCAACTTATGCACATTCTGTTACACTGCATTCCTGCTCCAGAAATTATACGCCAGCAATTCCAATTAAATGTAACCAAATAAATATCAACGATGAGGATAAGGAAGTTGTGACTTCGTGCAGTCGAAGAAGGATTGCGCCTTTTGCGGTCATTCGCCAGCCTTATGCACAGTTCCATGGCTGCATAAGCATATTCGTTAAGTAATAATATTTAGCACTGCCGACATGTATGGACGGAGAACGGAGAAGATGGAGTTGGTTTGTAAATTGTAGTGCCAACAACTTGCTGCGGGGTGTTAAAAGACAAATTTATACACAAACATAAATACATATTTACATTTGTAAAAGCAAATATACATAGTAAATAAATATATATATTTTTTTGCTGCTATAGCATGTTTCCTTTAAACTCTAACGGCAATTTGTAAGGCAACGTTATCATAAATTTTAAAACGCTTTAATATGCCTCAATTATATAGTCAATAAGAAAGCAATGACTCTTATCGTCATATTGTCGGGTGAATTTTTAAATTGCCAGACATTCGATGGTCATGTAATATGGCTGAATTACAAATACTTCCACGTATATATGTATATATGTATATACATTTACTCGTATAAGTGGCAAATAAAAGATTTTTACGATCGCACGCTTCGCGCATATTCATTAATTTGAATACCTACACTTGTACATATACACATACATACACGTACATATGGATTATAGTATTTAACCACTGCTCCAGTTTTGATTACTTTATTTAATTGTGTTAATTAACAACTTGGAAAAATGATAATGAAAAGCGTATTATATTTAGCGAAGCAAGTGAAACTTTACGATATGAACGTCTTTTTTTTTGGCAATAAGGGTAATGACTTATTGTCTATATGTATGTATAAGCATAATTATTTAGTAAATATTTTAATTTTCATTTGGAAAATAACATTTATTAATTTCCGTCATTTTGTGCTCGAAACTTTTTATTTTTTTTTTCATGGAATTTTTTATCATTTATTTAATTAATAATTTATTTTAAAATTTAATATGCTTTTAGTGACTGAGCTTTTTTTTATTATAAATTCTTCTTCTATATTGGTGAAGGCACCATTTAAGTGATTATAGCCGAGATGTTTCATCATTTCTGTTCACCGTTTGGCGCCAACTGGAGATACCGAATATAGCCAAGCGGAGTGTATTCCTTCCTTTGCTTTCACTGACAGGTTCTGTATTCAAAACTTTAAAAGCTGAAGTGTTATCATTCCCATCGGACCATATGACCTAGCCAGCTTGGCCGTTGTCTTTGGATTCGCGTATTACAGTGGTATTCTTCGTTGCCAATGCACAAAGGATCATTAATCTTACGCAAAACTTTCTCTATGACCGACTTAACAGATGCTGTTATTGTTCATGGCTTAGCCCCATGCTGCAGGACGGGAATGATTAGTGACTTATAGAGTTTGGCCTTTGTTCGTCGAGAGAGGACTTCACCTTTCAATTGCCTACGTAGTCCAAGGTTCGAGTCCTGATCCAAAATTACAGATCATTCATTTTTCTATTGCCTCGCCACTCAGCTAGGATTGTCAATCGCTCTGAGTGTATTTCTGACATGAAGAAAAACTACTCATAAAAATCTATCAGCCGATTTAGAATAAACTGTAGGTCCCTCCATTTTATGGAAAACATTAGCACCTTAACCTCAAAATGGAGGTGGAGCTCTTACGAAAATCGCTTCAACGGCTAAAAAACGTCACACTGATCAAAGTAAACCTGGCCTTTTTATCATAACTCTGCAGCTCGTATTATTTTTTCTAGAAATAAATTTGAGAAGCCACATGAGAATGAGTCAACCAGTCAAAATCTGGTTTTGGTTCGTGGAGCTCTTTCCAAATTTCGACTGCGCTTTTGACTGCCGTTCAAGTTTTTCGTGGTCATAAAATCAGCTCCTTTTCTTGCTGTCGAGGCTGTTTCAAAATCGACAAAGAGGTGGTTTGGTTGAGTCTTTTCTCATGCGTCGTTTTCAAGACTTGGCGCATAGTGAATTTCTGGTCGCTGGTAGATGTCTAAAGCTACACTGATAGGCTCCGATCAGTTAGTCGTTCTGTTATTCTCTCTGTGAGTGTCACATACACTGTCATTCAGCCAGCTGGAGGAAAGCTCCTAAAACTTCATTTTAGGCTCCTTTGCATTGGACATCTTGAAAAATTGTTGTGAACTATTAATCCATGAAAGCAGTGCCAAGTGACGGGTGTATAAATATTTCGCAAGGGGATTATTTGATGAGTTATCTCTTAGATTGGTCCATGCTGGGGTTGTAAAAATTTTACGTTGAGGTTGTGGTGTCTATACCCGAAATTCCAGCTAGGAAGAATGACTAGATAATTACCATACTCAAAGGGACAGCATGACAATATACACGGACGGATCAAAGCTTGAGGGAAGAGTTGGCGGAAGTGTCTTCCTAGAAAGTCCTTCTATGGAATTCCCTTTCAGGGTACCTGACCATTGCAGTGCTTACCTAATGAAGACTAAAAAGCAAATCGGAGTCAGCTTTAAAGATAAGGACATCTTCATTAAAAACACTGGGTTCGTTTACTCTGTATTCCAAATCAGTGCTGGACTGTTGCCGATCTCTACAGAAGATGACCAAACAGAACAGATTGTCTCTCACGTGAGATCCTTGTCACAGGGATATTGAGGTAAACTGTAAGTCGGATGAACTCGTTAGGCAAGGTATTATCAAACAGATTCTTCTCGATATAGAACAAGGCAAAATGATACAACTACCTGCCGCAAGTCCGACCACACCTGGACTCAATGGGATTAGAAGAGATCACAAAAGAGGTGACATGTAGAAAGGAATAGAAGTTCTGACAGGCCAGACAATGGTCTGATAGGATGACACGCGGAAACACTTTCGGCTCCCTATAGCATATACTGCAGAAGCTGCAATGATTATGAGGATGAGCTACCACAACCAAGCCTAAGCAATATGTGAAGTGAGATTATTTTCGCTCAGGGAATAATCAATTTTGTGTTGCCTCATCTACCTCTACATTGTTTTGAAATATTCTCATATAGTATTGCAAAACTAAAATGATGTATTAAATTATTATTGGGTAAAACAATAAGGTGGACATGTCAGCAACTTGGATCCATAGTCGCTATTCAAATTCATGGCCCTGCTGCATCACATCTCCTTCACCGCATTCTCCCATATTTTCCCTGTCTTTTACAACTGTCAGACATTCTGTCTGTGCATTTCACCTAATCCTCTTCTTTGCTATCCAATTTGTGCCGACCATTCGCCTAACTGCCTGGACGACTATGATTTCACCTCTACACAAACAAACATCACACAAAGCTTCCACTGCCACAAAATTGAATGGATACAAATTGATTGCTTGCGTACGTTAGCTCATTAGTATCCTCCTGTGTTGTTGTCTACAACTCAACATTCATTACTTTACCACCATTCCTTCATGTACAGTTATTGCCTCAAATTTGCTTGTAGAAGAAGAAGATGAAGCAGATGAAGGGCGTTTGTACTTGGCGTGCAAAAGGCACTCTATAGGGAGCAAAGATAACGGTAAATTGCCTAGGAATAGCATTGGGTGTACATCCACACACCGGTGTGATTTGCGTGAGTAACAAATTGCAAGAGGTGGCGGTAAGTCGCTGGAGTTGAAGCGGAGGAGCACGATGGTTAAGCGCCTTAAATTATACTTCATCATTTTATTGATTTCGCTTGTCAATGCTGTCGTCGCTAAATTGTATTCCTCGGCGCTTTTAACGTTAACGGAAATAAATTGTTGTGCACGCATATACATAGATCTATATATATGTGTGTGTGTGTGAGTGTTTTTTTCATTGAGAGAATTGGAGTGAGCACGTCTCGGGTACTTAATTTACTATATTTTTACGCATTGAGTTGCATTGTTTGTTATTATTTATGGCTTGTGCGCCTTTATGTTTGCATCTTTTCCAACTCCCGTTATCTTTAGCATCTGTCTGCTTGTTTTCTATTGGCACTTAATCTTTAAATTTCCATAGTTTTGCTGACAATCATTTATTTATAACTCTATTTTGTTAATATTCCAATAAATTGAGAAGCGGAAGGGAAAAAAATAAAATAAATTAAAGTCGTTTAAATAGAGCGGAATTTTATTGAAAAATTAAACATAAATTCTTGTTCTTTTCTGCAGTAACAAAAAGTAATAAATATTTAACTAAATTAAACATAAATTAGTAATTACCACAAATCGAATATATACGAACATACATATACATAAACATTAACATAACAACAATAAATCTAAGATTGTGTTTTATTTGCCCAAGCTGGGAATTCATTTAAATCGGGCCATATGACCAGACCCCAAGATTGCGCAAAGCCTACCAATGTGATGATGACAATAATTGTTGGTATAACGCCACCGATCGCCTGGGGAACAAGGATTTATGGTGTGTGAATAATAAAAATTAAAGAAAATTTTTTTTAATGAATAAATTGTTGATGAAATAAAAGAAAAGTTTAAAAGGGAATTTTTAATCTTTTTCCATTTAAAAATCATATAATACAAAAAAATACTAGAAAAATCAATATATATTTATAATATATTTAGATATAGCGGAATGTATTTTTTTATAATCATTTGAGAAATATAGGAAAAACAAAAAAAAAATTTCAATTTTTTACACACAAAAATTAAAATTAAAAACTTTTATGATCCCGAAAATGACGTAAAAAGATTAAATAAATATGAAGAAATGAAAAATTAAATTTTTTTTACAAAAAAAAAAAGTAAAAATAAGAACTTGTATGATTAAAAACAGAAAAAATGTCAAATTATAATTAATAACATTTTTTAACTTTTAAAATTGAAATTAATAGCATTTTTCCACTTTTAAAAATAAAGATCAATTAAAAGCTTTTGCGAACTCGAAAATAACCTAAAAAGATTCAATAGATATGAAGAAATGGAAAATTTTTATTTTATTTTCAACTGGTCGTTTAAATGTAGAAAAAAATTTCAATTGAAAATTATTACACTTAAAAATGATTTCTATTTTTTAACCTGTTGACATTTAAAAGTATAAAAATGAATAGTTTTATGATCTCGTAAACAGACAAAAAAATTTAAACAAATATCAAGAAATTACATAATATTTTTTATTTATATATCGTTGATTAAATATAGAAAAAATTAAAATTAAAATTTGTAAACTTTTACCATTTAAATATTATTTTAACACTTTTTTTATATTTAAAAATAAAGTTAAATTAAAAACTTGTATAAGCTCGAAAATGTCGTAAGAAAGTTAATAAATATTAATAATGGGAAAATATTTTTTTATTTCTAAATTGTTGACTAAATATAGAAACAACTAGAATAAAAATTAAAACTTTTAAAAAATATTTTGAAATAACCTACAAAATACTGTTTATAATTTTGAAACTGTTGATGAAAAATAGAAATGCTCAAATAAAAATTATTCGTTTTAAAAACTAAAATTAAATTAAAAACTTTTGTGAACGAAAGAGACTCGGAAAATGTCCATAAATGGTTAAATATTATTTTCCCATTTTTAAATCGTAGATGAAATATAGAAAAAACTTAAAAAGTAATTAAAATTAATTTAACAATTTTTTTTAACTTTAAAAATGGAGTAATACTACTTTTTTCAAATCGTCTACTCTAAAAATATTAGTTTTCGTATTACAAAAACTATTTGGACTTTTCTGCAATTATTTCATCAACAAACAATATATATATATATGTATGTACTAACCATATCCTTTGTTCTAATATTACCATATGCAGCCACTATGGCATTCGGTGGTGTGCTCACCGGCAAATGGAATGCCATACTCATGCCCAAAGCAGCAGGTAGACAAATATAAGCAGGGTTTATTTTAACAGATAATGACTAGAAGAAATTTAAAAATGATTAAAGAATTTTTGCTATAATTGATTTCACTTTACCAAATTTATTAAGATCGGTATCAGTATGTTACACATGGCGACATTGGACGTGAATGCTGTACAAAAGACCGCAAGGCAAAAACAAAAGAGTTGTAATACCCACGGTGGGAGGACCTTCAGGGCTGATAGCGATTCGCCAACGTAAGCAGCGAAATTAGATTTATCCGCACCCTCGGCGAGTGCGAAGCCGCCGGCGAGTAAATACAGTAGGCCCCAGGAGTGGCGGACGGTGAACCAGTCCCAATCGAGTAGAGGTCTTGGTGTACCTTCTTCGCTGGGTTCTAAAATAAAATAACGGAGAAATGAAATTTCATGTCAATTATGTATTTTCAATTTTTTCCTACAAAATAGCGAATTGGATTTATTCTGCAATTTTTTTTGCATGTTAATTATCATATAGAAATTTAATAACAGGATTTTAAACTATTTTCTTTAAAACAATGCTTTGAATGTATCATTTGTTTCTACTTTTATCAATAATTCATTTTACCCTACTCTGAGGGAAAGAAACTTAGATACTTTTATCTACAGAAACATATGTACTCACTTCGACAAAAAAAATATTTCATGCATAAATAATGAATGGGCAAAGAAAAAAGTAGAAAAGAAACACCCAAAAGACCACAAGATGATTTGATTTTCCTGAAAGCAAAAGAAAAACATTTTAATTCAAAAATTAGTATTCATTATTAGGATTTTAAAAAGCAACTCACTTTTCTTTTAAAACATCTGCAAAACCTTTTAGGCCACCCATGCCCGGTTTCCTAGCGAGGAATAGCACTATCATCAGCAAGAAAAATATGCCCACCTGTATTTCGTGACATGAAATTTTTCCCAATTCTTTAGCTTTTTCTTTAATAACAGCACGTGCCCCCTCTTCAGCTTCCTTTGTAACAGACAGTTTTTTTCCCGCACCCCGAAAGAGGCCCATAAATTGCCATTGTAGACCAAGGGCCATCAATGTTGTATTGACTAACATTGGCGGTATGTTGAATGCTATGAAAGGTAGAAATTCCATAACATCCGATTCGGGGAAAGCTCGCTCAAAAAGTCCTTTGAAAGCAATATTTGTGCCGGTGCCAATAAGAGTACCCAATCCTCCTATAGAGGCTGCGTACGCAACGCCAAGATAAAAAGCTATTGCCACACGGGAAGGATAAGGTGCGCTGAAAATTAAGTATGTATACTATATATGGATAGTTGAAGTCAGCCTGGCCGTTAAAAAAATAACTTACTCCTCAGGACCAAGGACTTTACTGCTATCCCACATTTCAACAACACCTTGCTGCAAAACCAAAAACAAAGTTTTGGGTCTCATATTTCAGATATCATAAGAAAATAATTAAAAAATAAAAAAATAATAAAATTAAAATTAAATAAAATAAAATAAAAATATAAAAAAATACAAATAAAACAGAATAAAAAAAAAGTAAAAAAAAAAAAACAAATAAAAAAAAATAAATAGAATTAAATAAAATAAAATAAAATAAAATAAATCAAAATAAAATAAATCAAAATAAAATAAAATAAAATAATATAAAATAAAATAAAATAAAATAAAATAAAATAAAATAAAATAAAATAAAATAAAATAAAATAAAATAAAATAAAATAAAATAAAATAAAATAAAATAAAATAAAATAAAATAAAATAAAATAAAATAAAATAAAATAAAATAAAATAAAATAAAATAAAATAAAATAAAATAAAATAAAATAAAATAAAATAAAATAAAATAAAATAAAATAAAATAAAATAAAATAAAATAAAATAAAATAAAATAAAATAAAATAAAATAAAATAAAATAAAATAAAATAAAATAAAATAAAATAAAATAAAATAAAATAAAATAAAATAAAATAAAATAAAATAAAATAAAATAAAATAAAATAAAATAAAATAAAATAAAATAAAATAAAATAAAATAAAATAAAATAAAATAAAATAAAATAAAATAAAATAAAATAAAATAAAATAAAATAAAATAAAATAAAATAAAATAAAATAAAATAAAATAAAATAAAATAAAATAAAATAAAATAAAATAAAATAAAATAAAATAAAATAAAATAAAATAAAATAAAATAAAATAAAATAAAATAAAATAAAATAAAATAAAATAAAATAAAATAAAATAAAATAAAATAAAATAAAATAAAATAAAATAAAATAAAAAAAGAATTAAAGTGAAATAAGATAAGTAAAATAAAAAATAAAGTAAAATAAAAAACAAAAAAGTGAAATAAAAAAAATATAAAATAAGAGCTAAAAAGTAAAACAAAGCAACAATACTCACAGAGGACATTTCCTCTAAGGTGCCCTTAATAACGGGACACATCATAGCCGTAGCAGCAGAATTTGAAATCCACATTGATACAAACATTGTTATAAACAACATACTGAAATGTAATCTATCAAAGAAAAAAAATATAAATTATAATTCTTACAATCACCATTCTCTGCACATAGAAGATTTACACACCTGTACAGCTTAGCGCCCACGATCTGCAGTACTATATATGCTATACGCTTATGCAGATTCGAATATTCGATAGCTAAGGCCACAACTAAGCTGCCGAAGAATAGTAAAATGGCATTCGGGAAGTATGCATTCACTGTTGTTTCGGTATCCTACGCAAACGAAGTATCAATACAATTACATAACCATTATAAAATTTTAAATTTGTGCTAAAATATACCAAAATGCCTAAGAGTGGGAAAAGTGCAATGGGTATCATTGAGGTTACGCCAAGGGGAATTAGTTCGCAAATCCAAAAGGTGGCCATTAAAGCAACAACATATGCACAACGCATTTCCTGTTGAAAAATTACAAGAAAAAACATTCATACAATCAAACAAGCAATTTTAACATGTAATGACCCTTATACTTACATTCGCAGGTTGAATGAAGAGTAAGGGTAGAAATATGATTGGAAACAAGAATATTAGAAAACCTCTCCAATGGAATTTGGCAAAATATTTGAAGCGTTTACCGGCACTGAGAGTTTCTTCGTCGGTCCTAACATGAATATACGCACGCAATGCATTAGAATATAGAATTAAAAAATTAGTAAAAAATATTATTTAAAGAACTTACTCCATTTTAATTTGATTGCTATTAAGTTTCGCAACAACTAGATACTAGATTGAAGATTATGAAATAATTTTTTCTTTCATCATTCATAATTCACGTAAATATCAAGGTTACTGCAATGAAATTATTTTGGAAAAGTTTTTTTTTTTTGGTAGGATCTACTCGTTAGGTATTTTTGGCACAACAGTCGGGAAGTTCATCCACCATGACGAAACAGATTTTTACTCAAGAAACCGATCGATTACGTTTTTAACGACGGGAGACATGTCTACAGTGTTCGGGAGGTACGTACAAACAGCCGAACGGTGCCTTGCAAATCGGCTTTCTGAGAGCAGTCATCAAACCCTCGATATGAGGGAACTGTGGAATGACATCTCAAACTCTATATGAAGAGCCGCTATGGAAACAATTGGATTTCAGCAGTGCCAGAAAGAGAGGTGGCGCGAAAAGTTATAGCGTACTGCAGTGAAGAGAAACATACTGCCTACTTCACAACTTTGCGATCGATCACAACAGCTGAGCTGAGGAGAGAAGCAGGACGCATTTCCTAACGAAAAAAGAAAGAGAGCGAAATGAGTGAGTGTGAAGAGCTTGAGAAACTGACAGACAAGTTTAGTGCTCGAAAATTCTATGAAAAGATATGCCGACTGACATAAGGTTACACAACCGGACGCCCAGAGCATACTTGGTATATGGAGGGTACACTTCTTCAGTCTGCTGAATGACAGTGCAACAATCGAAGATGGTGAACCTGAAGCCCCAAGAGGTTGAGGTGGAAAAAACGTCTTCATGTCCATTACTATAACCTATAGAACAACACAGCGGCTGGAGTCGAAGACTTACGAGCTGAGCTGGGATGCATGCATCAGCTTCTTTGTAAAATGCAGTCAAATTAAAGCATGAGCGAAGATTGAAAATCACGTTTCTTTTGACAGTCATAATATCAATGCCGTAGGTTATTTCATCTATCTAGGGACTAGGATTAACACAAGTAATAATGTCAGACTTGAAATCCAACATAGAATCCGTCCTGCTAACAGGTGCTACATTGAACTGAGTGGATAATTGAAGAGAACTTTACTTTTTCGGCAAACCAAATACAAATTCTACAAGTCAGAGTTTTGGGAGATATCGATATCCCATTAGTCGGCTCTGGGAGTCCTCGAGCCGAACGATTTATGGCCTTTTGACGAATACCGAAGACGATCGAAGGACATTGATATAGTTCAGTGAATGAAGAGGTAGAGACTACGCTTTGGAAGTACTCAATGATACTCAGTTGGTATTTCCAACTGGCGCCAAACACCGAAGAGAGGGAGCGAAGGGCGCGCTATTGCTGATTAGGCTATAAATCTCTAGTTTTCCCTGAATACATTGAATAAATGTTCTTCCATCTTTCGCGTGCCTCAAGATTGCCTCTTTGACCTCATTTTAAGGAAGAATTTTCCTTCAACTTAGGTCACAAAAGCATTTTCATTAAAGTTTGAGTTTTAAACTGGATATGAATTACCACTCGAACAAGTAAAAAATTGGGAAAATTAAGCTTTTCTATGGAAATAGCAGAGCAAAAATATTCCAATTGATTGAAAGTTTCTAGTTTCATATAAAAAATAATGAAGAGATTTGCTTCAAATTTACTTCAAAATGGAATATTTCCGTATTATCCTTGAAAAATGTTGGCTTATATGAACATATAAAATATGTATGTATCTTAACTTCGTTGTTTAGTATTAAAAAAGACATCCACATTTAAGCGTTAACTGCTTTATTTTGGATTTTATTTCCCAGCCTTGTTGGTGGCATAAATTATTTGTTGGTAAAGTCAGTTAAAAGGGTTGTGGCTTCCATTTTGTTTATTTCTTTTTTATACCCTAAACTGATGCGGAAGAGCTTTATGTATGCTTAGTTCATTGCTTGATATTTGTTGTTGTTGCTTGAATTTAGAATCTTTACGCGAATTTTAACCTCAATATTAGAACACCAGCAATTGAAGTCACCTAAGGAACGTCAAGGAAATGTATGATGACGCCTGTTTGTCGCCATGTCAACATGAATTACAATTTTAAATCTACGTTTAGCCGCCTTGAGTTGACATGCTCATAAAATGGAGGCAGTTTGGGGTATTTCTATTTGTTAATACACACTCATATATGTATATTTTTAGAGCTTTTATAAGCATGTTCTCGGAGGAGGAGGAAGAGTTAAGGATGATTAAGATTATAAGATATGCAACGACACGGCAGAAATGACAGTTGCGGTGGCGATTGGGATTGTATCTGTTAAATTACGGTTTGGCTGAGCAAAATCCAAGGCTTTTCAGAGGTACCTCAGTGTATTCTGCTACACCAACATATATAATCACCGGATGATAGGTAATTTTTGCGAGGTGTGACAATTAAGTAATGGACTGATTATATTGCCGCGATTGTGGTAAGCCTGTGACCTTGAAATTCTCTTTCCTTTCTCCCGGCATCCCTCTCCGCTTTATTGATATATTTGCCAACGCTCCAACTTGCTTAGTTCGCAAGTGTCGGTGGTCAAAAAATCCCATTGTGAGTCGATTGAGGACATCCAGGTGGCCGTGGCGAGGGCATTCGCTTACATTCCAGTCGAAGCGTTCCAGATATGTTAGGAATCATGGAAAACGCGCTGAAATTGTTATATAGCTGCCCAAGCGGACTACTTTGAAGGGGATGGTAGAGTTGTAGAATAATTTTGAAATTCTCCGCTACCAGTGGTCTTTTGTACTCTCGGATTCTTTAACTTAAACACCCTAACGTCCTTATGAAACAGCAGGCTGATACATTTAATTAGATTCTGCTCCGGTGTTCTTGGTAATACCTCGAAGAGGTGCCCCAAGTCACTTCCACAAGCTTATTTGTTTATCTTATTCTGTCATAAATATACCAGGAGCTGTTTTATATTCTCATTTCTACATTTTTTCCATTTCTTACAAATATCGAACCTGTATCCGATGAATTTTAGATTTTATTCAGTAATTCCTTTTTATCTGCAGACAGTTCTCTGTCTATTAGGCATATCATACAAAAATTTAACCAAACCGAACCATGATTTTTATATATATATCTTCACAAGTTCCCGTAAAGAAAGAATTTCTAGTAAATCCAGCCAAAAATATTTTTTTTTCTCGCATTGTTCGGTTCCTAGCCCACTTCCCAGTGAGATGACTTTCTGCTTATCTAGGCAAAAGCCACTCATGTATCGTATAGGAACCAAAATATTATTATTTCGAATTGGTCAGTACCTTGGTCAAGTTTTTCTAGGAACCATAAAAACAGATTGACAAATTTTCAGTAGTTTCGGAGATAACAGAAAACAAAAAAGCAAAAATCACTATATATAAGGTTATCAATTTCGTGGTTTCAAAAGTATAGAACTGTATTTTTATATCTGTCAAACTTGACTCTCAAACCACACCTGTTATGTTTTAGTTAAAAATCAGACATTTGTAAAAGTGGATCGCTTAACAATAGCACAGTGCATTAAACGTTAAAGCCTAAAACCCTTCGAACGAGGCCTTGTTTCGTGATAATCGTCCGACTTTCTTACTCGATGGATCCATAAAAAAACCAAATTATCGCATTTGGTATTCCGTGAGCACCCAAAACAACTTACTATCTGATGCGCTCTTGGTGCGGCGGTGTGATTGGACCTTACTTCTTTGAAAATGACAACGGTGAGACTGTCACTGTCAAGTCGGAGCATTGTGGTTGTATGATAATCGACTTTTTTTTGACCTGCAATTTAAGAACACGACATAGAAAATATGTGGTTTCAGCAAGACGGTGCCACATGCCACACAACACGGACGAACATGGAGCTATTGCGAGAGAGTTTTCCCGGCCGGTAGGACTGTTTTTGTGGGCTATGCGAAAGAACAGCATTCGCCGAGCTATGGCTGAGGTATCGGCCAATGTGTGCCTAAAAGTGTTTGAAAATTTCCTCGAATGGCAACTAGGTTAGGGTAGAATAGGCATGAATTAGCTATTTACTAAATGTAACATAATGTATAAATATTATATATTTTTCAAAATTAACGTCATTGGCAAAATGTGTTCGTCTAAAAGGGAAATATATTTTTCCCTTTAAATATTTTAAATAGAGGGCAACCCAATGTAAGTAAACAAGAAAGTGGTCAGTCTATGACTTTTCTTATTAACATAACTATTCATATACATACATTCATATGTATGTAAATATACATATTTACTAAAATATTTGATGAGGGAAAATGTCAATCAAGTCATGCTAATGGCAAGAAGTGAGCAGTCAAAATTGAAGTGCAACTTATAAATCAAAAGACTTACTAACATAACTACAAGCAGATGTGTTGGAAAAGGTAAATAATGGTGCTCACATATATATGTACCTGCATATATAACAAGAAATGTGTATGTAAAAGCCAGCTGTATGTTTGCAATTAAACAACTTGTTAGACCTGTTAGCTGGGTTAGTAAGATTTACTCTTATTACGAAGTTCTCATCGTTCAAAAATAAGATTTATTAATTTATTTTGATATATTTGTTACTACATAATTTATGGTTTCAAAATCCATTTATTTATAGAAATAGTTGAAAGCAGTCAGTTGTATGGAGATTAATAAAGGGATTAAAAGTCAGGGATGTTATATTTACGTGTAAGCAAAGTATATGAGAAGTGTAGTAACCTTTCACCAATTTGCCTTTCCATTGTGAGAGAGAGATTCTAGATGAATATAATGAAAAGGGGGTTGTGAAGAAAAGACTAGTGTCTCCCAAAATATCACATACTGTATGCATTACAAATTGTAAAATATAAGCTTTTACGGACTGTTATATAACTGAAATATTTTCTTTGTATAGAGTAGCCACTTATTTTCTTTAATAATTTTACTGTTGGTTTTGGTCAGCGGTTTTCTACTCTATTTGCACTCCTGCTTCTGAAAGCACTCATCAGCAGCTTGGCACAAAGGAACTGTCAGTGGAGAGAAAATAGGCTACATATCTCGCAACTCCACACTGCTATGCCTGAATTTGGTATCCCTGCGAAACTTATACGGCTAAGTAAACTGCCGTCTGTCAGGATTGGGAAGGACCTCTCCGCGCCTTTCGACA